AGGCACTGGCGGGCACAGTGAGGTGCTGATCCTCCTCCCAGAGACACTTCCATGCCCACTTGGAAGCATGGCACTCTCCCAGGCAGCCGGATAATCCTTGAGGCAAAGCAGCTTTGTGGGCCGCCGGGAGCCATGGCGCCTCAGACAGGCCGGCCTTCACTCTCCCGGCCGCCTTAAGCTCATCTGAGCTCAAAGAACACGGCCAAAAACGTTCCCTGAGCCTCAGTGATCCACAAATGGTCATGGCAGCACAAGGAGAGGGGGGAACAGAGCAGGAGAAGACATCCCCTGGTGGGAGCCTGCCTAGGGACACAGGGTAGGCTGTTCTTGGAGACGGGGAGCTACTGGAACACGGTTTGGCCATGATTTTATTCTTTGCCCTCATATCAGAGCTCACACACCAGCATTTCTCCTCCTCTCCTGCTCCTGTGCTTTGTATGACCCACTTTCCCTCCTCCCCTGCCCTGCAGCCACGTGGCCAAAAAGAAATCACCACCGAGCTCAAAATGTCCCCATTCATCAAACGTCAAAAGCTGGAGCAAAACTTGGTTTTTAATCAAAATTTGGCTGAAGTTGACCCCTGCACTCACAACCTGTGAGGAAGCAGCCGACGAGCAGATGTCACTGCTGGATAAGCCTCGTTTCTTTAGGAAGCTAAAAACGGAACCAGCCATCACCATCATCTATGTTTAGACCCAATATTCCAAACAATTCCCCTATTTGCAGTTCTTTTTTTTCCCCCTCCTGAAGCTATCTCTGGCAGAAGAATTAAGCAGCTGCCACGGAGAGCAGGAATTGAGTTAAAAGCTGAAGAAGTGCAGCGCTGGTAGCAGAGGTGACGCACCAGCTGGATGCATTCCAGGTCACTGCAGCCTGGCAGGCTCTCCACGAGGACATCCCAGCGGATCTTGGCAGCACAGTTGGATTTTTCCCCCACGTATGCAAAAGCCATAACTCCTATGGAGCCAATCATTTCACGCTGGAAGCCCTGCAATTCATTTTTTAAATGCTTTGCCAATCAGGTTATTATGTTCAAGCTAAGGGAGGAAAAAACCCTACAGAAAGACTTTTCATGGGGAAAGCATTCCACTTGGGATTTTCCTTGTCTTCCTGTGCCAAATTGGCAGGAGAGCTGTATAATTACAGAGCTTTTACAAACAAAATTAATGTACAGCAAGTCTGTACATGGCCACCCTCCCATCCATGGATTTTATGGAGAACATAGCAAATGGATCCCAGTTTTATTTCACTGTGAAACCACTCTCCCAAAACAAGAGTATTTTGAAGTAAAATCCCTGTGTGGTACCACAGACTGTAGTCCCCCCCTTCCATTTTAAAAGGCAGGCAAACTTCACAACACAAGAGCCACAGAGAACAGGGACAGCATCCCTCAGATCTGTGTTTCCACACAAGGATCAGGATGCAGGATGCCCGGGAGTGGCATCAACACATGAGATGTGGCCACAGAGACAGAATAAGGGCAATTATGGATGTTGTTAAACATAAAACTTTATTTTCTTATCTGCCTGATCAGAAGACCCTATTTTTAAGACTGCAATATAACCAAATATATGTATCAAAAACCAATTCTCAAAAGAAGACACCTTATTATATATTAAAGGTTTATTTCCCTTTATTATAGCAGCACATCAGTCCCCCTAAGATCCAGAAGCAGCTTCCAAGAATCCTCTGCTGCTGTCACAAATGTTCATTCTGTAGATCCTAATTTCTCTTTGTTTTCCCTGTCACATTCAATATATCTCCAGTTCATGAATTATAGACTTGCCTGATTTCCCTAATGTCACCCAGGAGCCTACAGTAATTCAGGAACCCAGCAGACACTGGGAAGGTCCAAGTCCTGGATGCTGAGACTCCTTCAGGATGAGAACAAACTAAGGCACGTAATTCCCCCCTGACTGAGCTGAGCACATTCCTTTCCCTTATTTTCCCTCCAAAATTCCACTGCTAGCAATTCTCTCTCGAGGTGCTGAGGAGATGAGGATGACACATGCATGTGGTCCAGACCTGCTGGCACAGGATCCACAGGATACCTCACAGTGCATGCTCCAGCACCCTGCCAAACCACTTGACTCCATCCAACCACTGCTCCTGAAAGCTGAGCAGGGCAGGGGACCCTCCTCAAGGACAGGGCCATCCAGAGGGACCTACACGAGCTGGAGGAGCAGGAGATTCCAGGGAACCATGAGGTTCAACAAGTGCTGCACTGTGTTGGGGTATAAGAACAAACTGGGGGGAAAACAGCCCTGGGAAGAAGGATTTGGGGGTCCTGGGCACGTGCACTTCCAGCCCTCATAGTGTGGCCTTGGACTGCCTGGAGCAGCCAGTAAGAAAGAGGGAGAGAGACAATTGACAAGGGCCTGCAAAGACAGGACACAGGGAATGGCTTCCCAGTGCCAGAGGACAGGAATAGATGGGATGGTGGGAAGCAATTCCTCCCTGTGAGGATGGCACAGGGTGCCCAGAGAAGCTGGGGCTGCCCCTGGATCCCTGGCAGTGCCCAAGGCCAGGCTGGAAAAGGCTTGGAGGAACCTGGGATAGTGGAAGGTGTCCCTGCCCATGGAATGGGTGGCACTGGATGTTTTTTAAGGTCCCTCTCAAACCAAATCATTCTGGATTCTGTGACATGATTCAATGATTCCCTATTTCCCAGCAACATGAGACACATCCCCACTTGCTCCAGAATCCCGACTCAGATTTATTTTTTTTTTAAACAGAACAAGAGCTGTCATTTCAGCAGCACCCCCACAACACTGGGATCATTGAAGAATTTACTCAGTGACCTTTCAGCAGCAGATAAGCACATACACTCCTTAAACATTAACTCCTTCCAAACCCGTATTCATTTCAGCATTTTTTGGACACAGACACAACTTCAATTTAGAGCAACAAATGTCAAGAACATTCCACTGCTTTCTTCAGCCTGTGAGAAGCTCAGCACAGCAATTAAACCACAGGTGTGGAGTTAAACACAAGCTCTAGAGCTGCTGCACCGACAGCTTCTCTCCAGCTCTTCATGGTCCTTTACCATTGCAAGAGGCTTTGTTTTTATTGCTTTGGGTGGTTGAAGTTATCTTATATATACTTCCTTGGCAGTTCTCTTGGGGGGAGGAAAACAATTTTTTAAGAGGATTTTAAATTATTTTAATCTGAAGAGCATTTATAAACAATTCCCAGTATACAGCAAGAACAATCTGCTGTTGGTGGCACATTAATCCTGGCGAGCACTTGAAGGGTAGAAACACAATGGGGTGAAATTGTTACAGATGGCCTCAGGGGTTACTCCAATACTTGAACAACTGGAATAATGGGGTGGAATTAAAAACATGGGCCCAAGCTTAGGAAAACGCCTCATGATAAGATCACGGTGCCCAAAAAGAGGAACATGAAACTGTTGAAGAGGAGACACTTGTGGCAATTAAAAGTGAGCCTTGTAGAAGCACAAGAAGTGCTTCTAGCCCAGATGGAAAAACCATCCATCCTTTTCCACTCAAAAGAAATAATAACCAGCAGGAAAAATTATCTATCTTCCATTTGGACAAGTAAAATTTCACAAGGTTACTGTACAGAACAACCAAGAACTGGCAAAATGGAAGAGAGGAGAGATAATCTAATAGGCCTTTTCTATCTAATTTTTATGATTCTTTTGAAAAATGACCTGAATAAGTGAAGTTATTTGCCCTTGTCCTCTTTGTTCATATTGGATTTAGTCATGAGGGAAATCCTGCCAAGGATAGTATGTTTTACTCAATTTACTACCCTTTGTGATTGCTCTGTAAAATATTGGATACATGATAGGAAAGGTTATGGAGGTTCGGGGCGGGGGTTTTTGCAATGGAAAAAGAAGGAACACATTGAGCACTTGCTGGCAGTAAAAATTAAGACAACAAGAACTGGTGGAATTTTCTGAGGAGAATGTTTATCTCTGAGTCCACGTTCAAAGGATTGTTTTTAACCCAAATACGGTATAACTTTAAAAAAACAGCAATTGAGTATTAAACAAACAGCCTCTTGCAACATTTCAGTTCCAAGTAGGTCACAAATAACACTGGAGTCAGAAGCTCCATCTCTGTGCTGCACAAACTCTGTAATTGCCAGAAGCTGAGGTTTCCTTTGAATTCCCAGTGTTTATTATCCTGCTACTTTCGGACTCTCACCATTAATCATACGGTTGCACCGCTCCTGCTATTACAGCAGAAGGCAAGAAACCAGAACCTGCTCTTCCAGGCTTTGCATTTGGTGGAGCTAACACTGAGCTGTGGAAGCCACCCCCGGCCCCAGCATCTGTGCTGACAGAACCTGGGTCACGCTCAGTGCAGCCCGTGAGCCATAAATAACACGGAGAACTCTGGCAAATCCCAGGTGCAGCCAGCACCACCAGCCCCTGCCCGGGGACTCCAGCACACTGAGGCTGTTTTCCTAAAGCTATAAAGGCCAGCCATAATGGTGCAGGATCTGTTCAATCCTGGGAATGCACTGTGTTCTAAGATTCCAGGGAGAAGCTGGGGCATTCCTCCCTTACCATTCAATCCTACCCCTAAACCAAGAGCCTGGGAACTTGCAGCCGCGCCGGATCGTAATAAGTGGTGTCAAAAATTCCAAGCAAATGAGTTCCACATGTCTGGGAAGCAGGCCCTTTTCCTGGGCTGACCTTGGAGGCTGAAGGGCTGCCCCTTTCCTGACAAAAGGATTGCAGGAAGAAAAACATCCCAAGTGCTGCCGTGTAACCACACGGGTGAGATCCTTTGCCACAGAGAGCACGAGCTGAAGGTTTGGGATGAGATCAGATCAGATTTCTCAGGAGCTTCCCCAAAAGCTGAATGGACTCCCACAGAGTGGGTCTTGTTCCCTCCCAGACTTTGGGTTTTTATGGGGGATTCCATGAATCACTGCTGCTGTAGCATCCATCCCCCATGGATTTATGAAGGCTGTTCTTGGAATGGATACTGGGAGACAAAGGCAGAACAGAGGCCCTGACTCACCTCGTGGAGGGTGGATTTTGTGCTGCCATTGGAAAGATGGACATGCTCCTCTCCAGCGTGTCAGACATGAACATCAGAAGGCCTGGAAATTATACATGTTACTCCTTAACCTCGTTCACAGCAAGGTCCTCCTGACCCTTTACTTGGGATTAAATTACACACATTTACAAAAACTAATTGTCTACAACGCATTCCAATTACAAGTCTAATTATACTTATCTAACTGTTGCCTGACTGACTTGGTCTGGAATCAAACCATGCTTTTTTGCTTTATTCCATATTAAACTGGGCTGAAAGGCTTTCTGGAGCTCTGCAAGTTCAGAAATAGATAAAATAGAAGCATCTTAAGACTGAGCAGATAAAAGGCCAGGCCAACACAGAAGAGCTTTCCAAGTGCACATAAGAAGGATCCATCAGGATTTAATAAATCTTGGACTCAATATCTTTACTTTTGTTTCCAAAAGACCAAAAGAAAAAAAAATGCTCAGTCCCAAGCTTCAGGAGGGTCTTTCATCCAAGCAGAGGATTATGTCAGTCCCTCCTGATCTTGGAACATATAAATCCATTTTACACTACTTTCCTTTTTGGAGGCTCTGAACAAGTTATCAAAACCTTGCAGTTATGTATTAAGGCAATAATTACAATCAAACCAACATGTCTCAATGGGTTTAAAGCAATATGGACCACTGTGCTCAAAGGACAGCAATCAATGACTCCACATCCAGCTGGCAGCCAGAAACAAGGGAAACAGGGCTGGTACTTGGGCTTGTCTTGTCCAAAACCACCATGGATTACTTGAGTAACAGCACAGGCTGATGTTAAGAGGAATCGCAGGATGGTTTGGGTTGGAATGGACCCTAAAGACTGTTAGAATTCCAACCTGGCCTTGGACACTGCCAGGGATCCAGAAGCAGCCACAGCTGCTCTGGGCACCCTGTGCCAGGGCCTGCCCACCCTAAAAGCCAAGAATTCCTTCCCAATATCCCACCTAACTGCCCTCTGGCAGTGGGAAGCCATTCCCTGTGTCCTGTCCCTCCATCCCTTGTCCCCAGTCCTTCTCCAGTACTCTTGGAGCCCCTTGGGCAGCAGAAGGCTCTGGCTGGCCAGTCAAGGGAAGTCATTAATGGCCCAAACTGCACAGAGCACAGGTGAAAACCAGGTGAGGGAGCTGCACCTGTCTGATCTGGCAAGGAGGAGACTAGAGCCAATCTAAGCCCAGCCTGCAGGTCCCTAAACAGCAGCTACAAAGGTGCCAGTCAGAGACTGTGAGCTCTGCAGGACCCTCTGCTCAGGCAGCCCTGAGCATCTTGCCCAGGCATCAGGTTAAGTCCAGGGAGGAAGGGATGGCACTCCCTCTTAGTGTGGTGCATGGACTGTGCCCAAGTGAGCATCAGCTATGCCCCATGAGAGCAGCCTCAGCAATTAACACCCTCTTCTCACCCACCAGCTCCCCGTGGCAGAGTTCATCCTGTAAGGAATCACAGCGTGCATTTCGTTTTCTGCTCAGAATTTGCACCATCTAATTTACTCACGATTAGCATAGATGATCTAATATTCCTTTCTGATCTTAATTCCCAGCAAACCCATCAAATTCAATCTCCCTTTTTTTGTACACAGACTACAAAAGCTCGAGTCATTACAATTCCTACCCGGTTCCACGCTGGTGTAAACGAGAGAATGAGACCCTTAAATTTCCAAAGAGCTTGAAGGCAGCGTTGCATTAATGAACCTCCTGGAACAACCATGTGTCTGTGCAGAAGAATGTCAGCTACTTGTATGGCAGTCTTTGAAGGTCTCTCCAAGGAGGAAACGAGCCCTCAGCCAGGACAAATTCCCCAGCTGGGTTTTGATGGATCACAAGACAAACAGACCCCTACAAAGAGAGGCTGAAATGGTTTTACAGGGCCTGGTACCCCTGACCTCAGCCCTGCTCTGTCCTGCTCCACTCACACAGCCTGAGAAAAACCCCTTCAGGTGGGCACACATGGATTTGGGGATGCAAAATCCAGTTTGGTTGTGACAAAATCCAAGCACCAAGAGAGCACTTTAGGATCTGGGTACAAAAAGGGAAAAAAAGCAGCATCGTTCATGTGAGTGATTTGATGTTTATCTTCCACACCAAACAAGCTGAGACACACCTTAAACCTAAGTTTCACTCCTTTTACTTTCTGAAACAGTCTGAAAGAGGGACTGGGGACAAGGCCTGGAGGGACAGGACACAGGGAATGGCTTCCCACTGCCAGAGGGCAGGCATGGATGGGATATTGAGAAGGAATTGTTCCCTGTGAGGATGGAAAAGCCCTGGCCCAGGGTGCCCAGAGCAGCTGTGGCTGCCCCTGGATCCCTGGAATGTCCAAGGCCAGGCTGGACAGGGCTTGGAGCAGCCTGGGACAGTGGGAGGTGTCCCTGCCATGGCAGGGGTGGCACTGGATGATCTTTAAGGTCCCTTCCAACCCAAACCATTCTGGATTCTATAAGAACTCCTGTCAGATCAATCCTGCTGCTGACATCCCAGCCTGTTCTGGGAGAAATCTGTTGCTTCTCTCAGGAATTCATCAAGTGGAAAGTTGTTCTATGAACACAAACACTTGTGCACCCCACTCTGTATTAATCTGAATTCCAGCTTCCAAGGGGAGTTTGACATTAGTTCCTAGCACACATCACCACTGAAATGTATCATTCTTTGTTTGTTACACAATAAAAAATTAAAGACTCTCAAATTACTAATTAGATGCCATTGCTTAAATAAGTGGGCACAGAAGCAGTGGCCAAAATAAAGGAGTTCTAATTTTAATGAAAGGACAGCAGTGTACAACTGATATTTGACCAAGCAGGGAGCAGAAATTTCTTTCAGGAGAACAAAAGCACAATTAAAAAAAAAAAAAAACAACAACTTTTTAATCAGATGTTTTAAATCAGCAAGCTGGGATTCTTGACTTAAATACAAATAAAATCAGTAATAGATTTAAAAAATAGATTTAAAACCAGAAGTAGCTACATGAAATTACCATTTCTTCTCCTGGCAGACAAAGCTCCAGGATCCCCTTTGGCAAGAAAATAGGAAATTTTTAGAGAAATTGAGTATTTAAAATAAATTATACCTATTGCAGCCCTTCCTCATGCAAAATACAATAATAATCCAAAATATTGTTAAAAGGAAAGCAATAAAAGGAAGGCAAAAACTACCTTAAATAGGGTGGTAAATGGTAAAATCCAGCTCTCCCACCCTTTCCCACCAGGAATGCAGTCACACACAGGCTGTGGCTAAACACAGCAATACAACAGGAAAAATTAAACTGGGTGTAACAACAACAAACAGAATGGAAATGGAATCCATTCAGATCCTCCCTCCCACTATCAAATTCCTTGCATGATGGCTGTTGGAAGGGGCATACACTCAAAATGCAAACATCCAGAAGATAAAAGGTGGTGGTTCACTGCCACTCTGCCCTTGTAGGACTGTGTAAGGCACTCGAGGAGTTCAGAGCATGACAAAAAACAGCTTTTTCTTCAGCTCCCACCATTACTTTTGAGTGGCACCAATGCCAAACCCCAGAGCTACAAGGGCTTCTGTGCCATATAATCAACTCCTGCAAAATTTCGATCCAAAAAGCCTGAAAACAGCCTCGCAAGGGAAATATCAATAATTCCTTTCCAGGGATTGGGAAAACAAAAATCCAGACAAACCACAAATCTTGCTCCAGGTCACACAAGAACTCAGCTCCCGTATCATGCACAGTCCCTGCTTTTGTCTTTCCCTGGCCTTGATGGGAAAGCTTCTCTTGCCATCTCTTCCCTTTAAACCTAGAAAAAAATACCTTGGCACACTGCAAAAGAGTTCATTTCCAAGAGAAAAAATACCATAACTTTGCCTTTGACAACTGTTTTTCAGACTGAAATATCCTCTTGAACAAGAGAATTTCCCATACTGGAAAGGTGTGAAAGCTCTCCAGCTTCTCCTTGCCAAGTTTTAATCAGTATAATCCAGGACTAACTTCCCAAGCACAGAAAATGGGAAGGTTTTGGGTTTTCCCAGTCCCACAGTGAGTGCTGCTGAGGGATGAATAAAACAGGTCAATTCCACTGTGGATCTGCAGCATTCCAGCAGCTCCATTCATAATTCATGGTTTTGACATATCTACCTGCTGCTTGGGAAAGATGAGCACACACAAACATGACATGGGCAAGAGCTTTTTCCTTCTTTCACTCTCCCAACAGGGAAAAAAAAAAAAAAGAATAGACTAAAGAAGCAGAGTAGGGATTAATCCCAGAAGAATAAATTTATTGCTTCCACACAAGCCCCTGGCTGTCCAGAAGCACATGTCACAGAAAGCAAGTCTTACATGTTATATTTAAAAGTTCAACATGATCGTTTACCTATGTAATTATCAGTTTGAAACTGCAGGGAAACAGACAGGGAAACAGGGAAATATCCCTGGGAAATGGGACAGACATCCCTGGGAAACGTAAACAGCCAGGAGTGTTTAGGTGGTTCCAAAGTGAATGTTGTCAAACACGGAAAACTTCCTAAATCTGGTAAGTGGGGGAAATTGACAGTGGAAAAGTGCTAAATTCATACAATCCCAGAATGGCTTGGGTGGGAATGGACCTTAAAGATCACCCAGTTCCAACCCCTGTCACGGCAGGGACCCCTTCCACCAGGTCAGGTTGTCCCAAGCCCTGTCCAACCTGGTCTTGGACCCTGCCAGGGATCCAGGGGCAGCTGTTCTGGGCACCCTGTGCCAGGGAACAATTCCTAATTCCCAATCTCCCATCCATGCCTGCCCTCTGGCAGTGGGAGCCATTCCCTGTGTGCTGTCCCTCCATCCCATGTCCCCAGTCCCTCTGCAGCTCTCCTGGAGCCCCTTCAGGCCCTGCCAGGGCTCTGAGCTCTCCCTGGAGCCTTCTCCTCTCCAGGTGAGCACCCCCAGCTCTCCCAGCCTGGCTCCAGCCCTGCAGCAGCCCTGGAGCCTCCTCTGGGCTCTCGCCAGCAGCTCCAGGTGCTGCTGCTGCTGCTGCTGCTGTGTCCCCAGGGCTGGGGCAGCTCTGCAGGTGGGGTCTCACCTGGGCTCTCACAGGGAC